TAGAAAGAAAGAAAAGAAAGGGAAATTGAGAGAAATGTGAAATTCAAAGAAATAGATGTATTGTGTACGCAAAAATGAGTCAAATATATGCATATATAATAAAGTTAAAATGGGAAATTATTTTTTTTTGTGTTTGTGATTGTTTAACAACGGTCTAAAATATGACCGTTTAATCGAAAATAACCCCGTTGCCTCCTATTGTCACATTAACGCCGGATAATGCCATTGGGGGGGTGGGGGTGGTGGTGGTGGTGGTGGTGGTGGTGTGCTAGCCGTTATAACACCGTGTTTTTGTTGCCACATCGGATTAATGGGGTAGGGCGTTGCCCATACCTGATAGTCTTATGCATTTCAAGATATAACTTTCAAAATAATGTGGTCCTATGTATAGTTTAAAAAAGTGGATTTAGATTTTAACTTGTATATTTAAGTTTTAAAAAGAAAATAACAATGAAAAAATCCAGGTAGCCTTCTAAAAATTAGAAACCAAAAACTTAATGCCTCATCATCTACATTTTCCAACGGAAGAAAGAATTTTAATGGCCTTTTTAACAAGTCATTTTAGAGTTGAAGGATTTAAAATAGACAAAAAATTAATGGACCAAACAAAATAAAAACAAATAGTTGGTTGGTCAATTATGACATTATCCCTAATTTTTTTCATGTAAAAATTATTAATTGTAATATTTAGTTGAACAATTTATTCCCTTTAATGTCCAAAATATCTAACTCGCATTAAAAGATGTTAAATATTGTTTATTATAGCATCCTAGTTTTCTTTCTCATACTATATCATTATACTTAAATAAAAACTATCTAGTTATAGCATTATGATCCAAATACGAATCAATTTTCATTGCTATAAAGGAGTATATTTTTCAAAGGATAATGTCTCGGTTATAAAAATTTTAAAGTACGATGTTATAAAAGAATAACTTTTTCAAGCACAATGTCTAACAAAAATACTGATAATACAATGTTGTAACATGGAATAACTTGGGATTGTGATACTATAAAAACAAATAAATGAAAGTACCTTGTTATCACTTGCATATATCCAAGTGATCTATTTTTCTTTTTACATATCATGTAATATGCTTACATGTTTTTATGTGAAGTATTATAGTTTTACAAGTGATCAAATTTTCTGTTTCTTTTTCAACAAATATTTAGTTTGATAGTTTTATGTTTTTGAGTGTTATTAAAACGACATTTAGACTTACTAATTTTTGAAGACATTTGTGTTTTAAATATTGAGAATATTGTTGTTAGACAAGTTAAATTTTAATTTATATAGTGATATTGCATTTTTTTTACATATTATCTTTTTATCATTTTACATTCCATTTAAATTAAAAAATCCAAACCTAATTTTTGAATATATTATTTTGTGGTAAAAAAACATGCTCCTCAAAGCAGGAAAATGATATTTATTTTAGCAACTATATAATAACATAAGAATGCTATTAAAACCAAAAAAATACAGCAACGACATAACAAAAAAGGCGTCACTAAAAAAAAACTACGGTTGCACAACCAAAAAATGTCACTAAATACTTTTGGTAGCCCTTTTTGTTTTGTACCGCACTGATTGCTAAGGTGACCTTTAATACTACCTCCGTCCCAAATTAATTGTCCACATTTGACTTTTGAAGTCTTTATTCTTCAACTTTGACTTTAAATATTTTTCTTTTTGATAGATAATATTTGATGTAAAATATATGAATGAATTGTATTTTAAATGTCATTTCATTGTTATAAGTTTCATCAAGTAATATATAACACAAATAAAAATATTTAAGGTCAAAGATGAAGAAAAAATACTTCAAAAGTCAAAAGTGGACAATTAATTTGGGACGGAGGGAATAACATTTTTTTTTTATTTTTAGTGAAAATTCTTGTATGCCACAACTATACATACCATTTGGAATCTACCTTTTCGTCACCCATTCAACTCACCGTTTTTGTAATTATAAACATTTTTGAATTGGATTTTTCTTTATATTTGTTAGAATATTATTGTTGCAATTGATACTGAAACCGTGTTTTGAAGAAATTCATGCATATTTTGTCTATTGAAGAAATTAACAATTGTTTTGATATAATTAATTACTAGGTGTGAAACCCGTGTATTACACGGGTTGATTTAAAAATGATTAAACATTAAAGTGTAAACAAAAAATATTTTTTAATGTACAACTTTAAAATAAGGAAAAAACATATTTATTACAATTTAATATCATATATATGATATTTAATACTTTACATATATAAGTATATATGATTTTAATTTTAAAAATCGAAACAAACCAAAAATTGACAAGTGGATATTTATTTAAAAAATACCACAAAATGACAAGTGTCAAAACTCATGAGAGATTGACATGTGACAAAAAAACACATTCATTTATTAATGAGGATATTTCTTCTAGGGTACATCAAATCAACTAGGTTTCTATAATTTTATTTTATTAAGGATACAGTTAAATTAGCCACCCACTACAGATAATTTTATAAATCAAATCATCGCTAAAACTGATCGATATGATTTGGTCGCTAGCCTGTCGCTAAATAATTCAAATACATCCGTCCTTGATCGATATCTGCCACTAGTCTATTACATATCAATTGCTTTTTATAAGTTGTTTAAACATTGATTTAAAAGTTGATTGAGAGTAAAATATGTCATATTAGCACGAGATTTTTCTACGACTGAAATGGAGGGTTCCATTGCTATCTGTATGTCATTAAAAATTAACCATTATCATCTGCTAACCAAAAAAATTTGGTTTCTAAAGTGAAAGATTTGAATCAAACCCTCTTTTGTTAATGGAATAACATTCAATATTTGGCTTAAACGTATCAGAGTTGGCGAATGATGCCCTTCCATCAATGGTTAAGGGTTTAAGTCCGGTTTGAAATGACCGTCCAATGAACGTCCTGTTTGAAATGAACATAAATTTAAAAGTAAAGTAATTAGTGAATGTGTAGTTTATCTTTTTAAAATTAAAATGCATATGAAGAATCAAAAGCAGGTAGTCCAACAAAATGTTTTTTTTTTTTTTTTAAAAACGCATCACTTAAATGACATGGAACCCAAGTTTTCATAACTAAACACATGACAGGGGTATATTTGAAATCTTTTGTATTTTGACAAGGGTAGTTTTAGGTAGGTCCTAGTGTGGTACCGGGAACACCTGTTTTTTCTGTCCACAATCGAAATTTTTTTGATTTTTTTTTACCTATTTTTCATGTATCGGCAACAACTATTTCATCTTGACAACATCTATTATATATTCATTGAAAGATTATTTTAAGCTACAAACAGGTGTCCCAGCTTCCGTAAGCAAAGCATTAACTGTTATTAAGGTTCAACTTGTTGTTTTTAATTCTAATCTTCTTTTTTTTGAACAACAAACTTATATTAAAACGGAGCCTAGCGAGCAGCCAACTAGAAACTCAACACAACAGATTACACCTTGCTGTCCTATTTGAGGTTATCAAGATTGACTCAAAATTACAGATTTGGAAGTGTAACCTATGAAGTAGAAAAATTACATACGCAAACAACATACGAGAATATGTATGCATGAGTTATAAATACACGCCAAAAAAACCTTTTAGTATATAGAAAAAAAGATGTATGAAAGTTATAATTACACGCCAAAAAACCTTTTAGTATATAGAAAAATAAAAGAAAAATGTTTAAAATTGTGTATATCAGAAAATTTAAAATTATGAATATAAGAAAAGGGAGATGATATCTCTATTTATATTTTTGATCCATTAACTTGAGAAAAAATGTTTTGAGATATATCTTTATACCCTTATTTGACTAAAAAAATAATCATGATGAATTACACTACTAGAAAACTAAAAAAATAATCATGATGAATTACACTACTAGAAAATATGGGGTTTAGCTAAAAAAAAAAATAGCTACAGTATTACGGAATATATATTCCGTAGTGTGAAAGACATTAAAGTTAAAAAATATATATTCTTTTAAAATGGATGGATAAAAACATAACTATAAATTAATATCACCTCCATAAGAAAACTTTACGAAAACTATTTGTGATATATATGCTTGTATCTAGATACGCATCAGGGATACATATAAATTGTAAAACTATTTGTAATATCTATTCTTGACTTTTTGTCTGTTACTACCAACCAAATTTAACTTTCAACAGTGTGGTCAACCTTGATTTAAGGGCTTAAAGCATGCCATTTTTGTATGCTCAAAATCCTCAACAATTGCCATAATCTCAGCGATAATGTTACCGCAAGAAAGACCTACCGATAATATTCATGATTGCTAAGATTATATTATTTTGTCACGATTTAACTTATCGTTAAATTGACCTTAGTTGATATTACAACAAATTGGTTGCTTTTTTTTTAACATATTTAGACGTAAAAGATGCAGAATTACAGATTAATTACATGCTTCACAATTCGCAAAAACAATTTCTATGGTAATTAATTACTTCTGAATTTTAAGATTTTAACTAGCTATAAATTACCTTAATCTTCATACTTAAAACTATAATGCAATGATTATCAAGCATTTCTTATAATAATTTTCACACAGTTAATTATACCTTCTTAATTAATTATACACTTATAGATATGAGAAAAAAATATTTTATAAATTTAGAAGTGTTGCAGCTTTTTTATATCTATAACCCTGACATCAAATTAGGGTTGTTAAATAAATAAATACTACATAGTGCGGTTTACCGGCATTTACCAAATAGGATTTGGGTATGGTTGTATAATAATGGAAGTAATGTTTTTTTTTTTTACAACACGTTTGCAAGAATGTCGATAAAAAGTTACGTGTCCTTATATCTTCTGTTGTATGGTCTTTAATTCCATACACCATGAATAGTTGCCATGGTTGAAAAACACGACAGATTTATACCAAGGCAGAAGAACTCAAGCAGTGAATTGAAGGACATTGTTCAGTAAAACTACATTGATCTCATAAATATATCCCTTTAATTATAAGGAAGTAGCAGCCTCCTCTACTTTGAGAACTTTAAAACCTCCGTTTCATAACCATGGTAATGGAAAGGAAAAATATGAGATGAGGGACTCACATCAGGATGATGAAAGGGTTGGGAAGATGAAGGATCGTTACATGTACCTTGATGATGGTGATTATCAAAGGTAATGCCCGAATGATGATGTGGGTTTGAAGCTAGAAGCTTGTCAAGAAACGACCAATCCGCAGTCAGGTTGCTAGTAGCTAATAGTGGTTTGTCTTGTGTTCGCTGATGTCCGCTACTACAAGTCCCACAACCAGCTCGACTGGCCGACATTAAGCTCAACAAGTTCCTCGAACAATCCATGTCATTAATCATCATCGTACTGGCTTCATTACTATTGTTGTTGTTGTTGTTAATCAAGTGGCCATGGCCACTTTGGCGTGGCGTTAGAAAATACGGGGTGTGGTCGGGAGGTGAAGTCAACAATGGAGGAAGATGCATGGAACCCTCAAATAATGTTGTATTACTAGTCATGTTGCACTCGTAGCCATGTAGAGCTTGAAGATGTAGAGAATGGCCACCACCGCTGCCATTCTTATTCGTGTCTTGATCAATTAACTGTTGATGGTCATCCTCCGGTTGAAGATCGTCGGCTTGAAATGGGCTTCTCATGTTATGATTCTTTTTCTTGAATACTCGACACACAACCCAACCATCTTCCTGTTTCACATTAATTAATTAGTAAGCTTTAAAAACGAACAATAACAAGATCAAATGCGTAGAAATTAATAAGTAATTAATCTGTCATATATACCTGGACTTCTGATGGTGTGGCACCATTGGAGTATTGATCATCTAGGCGATACTCATGCATGATCCAATCGGTCTTCTGGCCATGAGGGGCTCTTCCGGTGTAAAATACCAGGGTCTTTCGCATGCCAATTCTTTTGGAATTACTAAGGAGATGAATGGCTTTGTCCCTCCCAGTTGCTTTCCAAAATCCAGCAGTTGTAGCCCGGTTTGTTCGCGTTCCAGTTGGATACTTTTTATCCTTGTGGCTAAAGAAATACCACTCGTTCTGGGGACCCGATCCAATTCTACACTTATCTACATGCAAATTCATCACAAGATGTATAACTTAAGTGAATTATCTCACAAAAATTCATTTTATATTGTACATGTAGGATTGTAGCCACACCATCAACATGGTCAACGCCCGGATCCCATATTAAGGATGTTAAGATATGTAAACAACTCAACCTTAACCAAAGGATAGAGTAGATACAGTTTCCAAAGATGACTTTATGTATGAAGAACATATGCGAATTAAAAGAAACTAGCTAGAGAGATAATGCAATTAGCATAGCTGACTTAGCTCATTCAAATCCATCATATTCTGTATATTAATATAGATGATTTTTAATCAAATAAAAAACAAATGGAACTCATATAACAAGTGCATCAACGAATCGGAGCTACAGTTACTGCGAGCTACAAATATTAAAGAGGTAGACTACGTACCTTTTAGATCCCATGGCTCTAGTTTGTTGAGATCCACTTCTCTAATAACATCAAGATCAATGGCCTCATAAGAAACCTTCTTCCTAAGATAATAGTAGAGCAATTCTTCATCTGTTGGGTGGAATCGAAACCCTGGAGGAACTGAGAGTTGTCCGTTTCCTGTATCCATCATCTCTAGCTAGCTGCAGCCTTGAGAATCTTACAACTTACTGAAGTTGGTTTTATTTTGCATGCAGAGATAAAATGTATGTAAGGAAGAAGAAAATGTTTAGTTATAAGCTGAAACAAAATGTACGAGTCATGCATATCTAGCTGGCATGTATAGACATTGGGTAAAAGAAGATGACAACTTCTCTGATCCAAATATATATATTCTGTAGGATACTGGTCTAGTGATGTTAAATGCTAAAGCAATATTTAATGAGAAATGTAAGTCATATTACCGATTACACATACACGGTACGTAGTTTGTTTTTCGAGGAAAAAAAAATACTTCTTTTTTGGAGTCGAGTTACAAATGAATATGAAATAGGGCAACCTGAAATCAATTTACTTTATGGCGGGTGAACAGGTACTACTTAATCAAGTCTTTGTTTGTTTAAAGCATTTCATTTTTATGGGTCATGGTGTTCGTCAATCCCCACAACAGTAAATTAATATATATATTTGTGAAATATATAATCAATATTTTAATAAGATCGTTTGTCAAATTATTTTAATTTCAACATGAGTAATAAAACTCTTGGTATAAAGAAAATAGGATGTACGCTATCAACTTGATGTGGAACCATGATCATAAACTTTTTGTTTTTGGCAATGGTTAGTTTTTTTGATTGACTGTTTATTCCGTTGAGAATATATTTCGTTGGCATTCTTGGTAAGACTAGTTTTTCCTATTCTTTTTTATTTTTTTCCCCATAATCCTTGTTGGCGATATTAAATATTATGTACTTATGTATGTATTATGTCCATATTGTAGGGTCTTCATTTTTTCAGGGAATGGTAAACATGAATGTCAAAAATGTTGTGTGGAATTGCTTTATAAAGACTATTTTTTTTTAAGAAATTAAAGATGTTGTGTGGAGTTGCGGTAAAGACAAATGCCCGGGACCTGATGTTTCTATTTTTTTTTTTAAAAAGGTACTGAAATATTATTGGCTCGGATGTGGTCGATGTTGTCAAATATTTTGTAGAGCACAAGATTCCTAACCCAGGTAGCAATGCCTCATTTATATCTTTTATCCCCAAAAAGAATGATCTGCTCAACCTGACAGAGTACAGGTCGATCAACCTGATCAGTTGCATCACTAAACTCATGTCTAAAATTCTTGCGTGTCGGACGTCTCAAAAAGGTTATTGATTTGGTGGTCAGTAGCGAACAATCGACGTTCATTATTGGGAGAAACATTTTGGATGATCCTTTGGTTGTCAATGAGTTGATCACATGGCCAAAAAGTATAAGTAAAAGTTGCTCATGTTCAAGGTGGACTTTGATAAAGCTCTTGATTCTTTAAATTTGATTTTTTTTAAAGGACATTATGTGCCAAATGGGATTCGGAGCCACATGGAGAACATGGATTCAAGCTATTCTTTCCTATTCAAAGGTTTTTATTCTTGTGAAAGGGGCTCTTACCGAGGAATTCTTCATGGAAAAAGGGGTAAGACAAGGAGACCCTCTCTCCCATTTTCTTTTTATTTTAGCCATCAAAGGTCTTAAAGTGATGATGGATGAATCTTTGCAAAAAGGTATATTTCAAGATATTGAGTTGCCTAACTCCGGTCCCAATAAATCTCTTTTCCGATATGTAAATGATGCCAACTTTGTGGGGGAATGGTCTAAAGAAAATGCAAGAAACCTTAGGAGAATTCTAACTTGTTTCTACATTGCTTCCAGTCTCAAGGTTAATTTTAAGATGTGTAGAGTAATGGGAATTAGAGTGTCAAGACTTAAGGTTTCTTCTACGGCCTGTTCGATGAAGTGCAAAGAAGGTGACCTCCCGTTTTTATATCTTGGAATGCCTGTGGGTGGGATGAGTTATAGAGTTTCCACATAGGTGCATGCCTCTTACTGAAAATTTTCAAAAGAAACTTTCTTAGTGGAAAGCTAAAACTTTATCCATTGGAGGTAGCTCGACTCTTGTAAATTCGGTACTTGGAATCCTTGGGACATACATTTTGTCACTTTATAAGGTCCCTAATAAAGTCATTCACAAACCTGAAAGTATGCATAACGACTTCTTATCGGGTAGCACTGCAGATCACAAGAACATCACGTGGAGTACTTGGCACAAGACTATGAACTCAAAAGGAATGAGTGGTTTGGACATTAGGAGCTTAAGGGCTTTTAATCTTTCTCATATCGCTAAGTGTTGGTGGCATTTCAAAGATGGGACATATATGATGTGGAAGAAAGTTATCATGTCTACTTATGGGGATCATGGGGGTTTAGGGGTGGTTAGACCCTTGGTTCATATGAGATTTGTATGGGGCAGTAATTGCCATGTTTGCCTTGATCTCAGACCTTATAATATTGATCTCAACATCTTATTCTATAGAAGCATTGATAATAGGGGTAACTCTATAACTGGTCATTGGTTTTAGGGTCTGGAAGTGAATGGTGTTTTCACTATTTCATCACTTAGGAAAGAAGTTGACATAACTTACCTAAACTCTAATAATTTTCCCGCGTTGTGGTCTAAGGTTGTACCAAGGAAAGTAATATTCCTTAGGGGGTAAATATTCCTTCTGTTCTTTGCCCTTTGTGTAATTCATTTAATGAGAATGAAGATCATTTGTTCAATGCTTGTTCATCCATTAAGGAAGTAGGCGCTCTTTTGATCATCTAGTGGAAGGACTTGCCTCTCTAAAACAATACTCACTTCTTGGATGGTATGTTAGGTTCTACTATTAATCTCACAAAGGGAAGCAAGAGAGCAGATGCTTTGGAGGCGATCGTAAGAGTGTTCCTTTGGGTTATATGGAACCACATGAATGATTTTTTATTTAACTGTAAGGTAAAAACAATAACTTATTTAGCTTTTGAGGTTAAGTTGTTAGCTTTTTTTGTGGATTAAGAATAGAACTAAATAAGGAAGGGGGGTGATCTGGGATTTATGGGTTTATAACCCATTGTACTTCACATTGTAAATGCTTTTCATTTAATAAACTCTTGTTAAAAAATACTGTACTTTATGTAAATAATTATACGGGGCTAATGTAATATAACCTAAACATGGTTTCCACATTATCAAGCATGAGATCAAGCCTATGGACTAATCCATCTCTGTACTGCCCTAACTTGGTCGTCCAAGTGTTGCCCTACTAACACCTTACCGATCAGGGCTGGTCTGTTGATTTTGATGGCCATGCTTGAAGAGTAAAAATAGGCCCCTAAATACAACTTATATATATATATATATATATATATATATATATATATATATATATATATATATATATATAACTAAAATAAATCTGAAGGGGTGAACTGTCATAAAGGAAAACTAAACAGTAAATTAATTAGTTAAGAAGGGAATTATGAAATTTTATAAAAATTGTGGTGTCAAATATGTAAATTCTGAAAACTAACTTACTAAAAGAAATTAATTTTTAAATATGAGGGGCCAAAATGTAACTTCAAAAATGAATTACTTAAAAAAAGCACGAAAAAAGAATTGATCTGCCATCCTTTGATAAAGAGATCATGTGCATTAGCCACTGAGGTACAAGAATTTTAGAAAATATCTTGCATAATATATATATATATATATATATATATATATATATATATATATATATATATATATATATTAATATTAATATTAATATATTAACCAAATAATTTGGCAAAACTCGGGTCCTAATTTTTGGGGTCCTGTGCGGCCGCACACCCCGCATCCCTTCAGGCCTATTACATATGCTCTTTCATTTTAGCCGTCTCTACCTCAGCCAGAGTCATTGTTGACATTTTCTTATTGGCTGCTTCGTTTAACCATTTGTTTCCTTCAAACAATCGTTGGTGTCCCTTACCATCTATTGATTTGATATTGACTATGTGTCCCTGTACTTCACTCACTAATCAAGGTGATATGTTTGTGATTCTTTATGTTTTTTGTTTGTCTTGCATTTTCGACCTTTCCCCATGTCATCCAGTAGCACCACTAGTAGCACCACAACATCAGTAAGCCAACTAGTGTGTAACACGCGTTATCCATAATATATACTGTTAAAGAATTAATGGAGTCAAAGGCATGGTTTTTAAGGAAAACCATATGCCACGGCATGGTGCATGGAATGCCATGACATGATATGGCATCTGAGGATCACGTGTTTTAATAATTGTCACAACGTGGCTAGAGGATGGCCACGACGTGGCAACTGTTGCAGTCCAAGCCCATAATTTTTAGGGTTTCCCCCATAGTTAAAGGCTCTAAATCTTGGTTTAGGGCATCTCATCTAGCCTTCACCTCTCCATTTAGAAACCCTAGCCTTCATAGAAGAGTAAGAGTTTGTTTACTTGGTTTTGAGGTTGTTCTTCTTAATTTGGTGAAGCTTGTGAAGAAAGGAACTCCTTCTTGGTGCAAGGAAGCTTAGAGCAAGACTAGATCCACCATATTCTTCAAGTTTGTGGACATTTGGAGGTAAAAAGCTTGCACCTTGACCTTTTTCTTTTGAGATTCACATTATTGGGCATTATTGGTTGGTTTTAGTCCTATTTTTGAATGCTCTTGGGGTTTGAGGAACTCCAAAGCTTAATATGACATTCTTATGGTCATGGAATTTTGTCAAGTAAGAAAAAGGTCTTAGTTTAAGAGTTCTTGGTCCCATGTGCAAGTTTTGGTCATATTAAGGACTTAATGGACTTAAGGTTGGAGAACTTTCCTTGGAGTGAAGTCATAATGGGTAAAGTTGGAAAATTTATCTACTAAGTCATTAAAAAGGATTAGATTTGAAGTTTTGAGCCTTGATTTGTAAGGATTAAGCTCTTAATGAAGATTTGAGGAAAACTGCCAGTGACCACAATGTGGCCAATGAATAACCATGACGTGGTGAAGTTCATAATCACGTTTGTTTATCTGGACATGCCCACGACATGGACAAGGAGGGTCCAAAAATGGTGATGTCCTACATGCCGTCTATTTTGTGCTTTTGTCCCCATAGTGGCCAAGGGGTCTATACGTCGTGGTGGCTATTGATTTGGTTGACCGTCGACCGTTGAATTTTGACCAGTTTGACTTGGGGTCAAACATGGAGGATTTGGGTTATTGATGGAGTATTTATCTCTTCTGAGTTAGTTGGTTTGAAGGATTGAGTAGTTCAAGGTGTGAGAGTCTT